TCATGGAGCAGCTGGTACCTTCTGTCTGCAGTCGAGGGTTTAACCACCACGCCACCATGGCTTCTGCTCTGCTGAGAACCCTCTCAAAGTGTGCTGGGCTGATGCTGGGAGACCTAACACGGGGTCTCACGCGAGTTTATCTTCTGGTTCTGAAGAGGGACTTTGCAGTCATTCAGTGACTTCTAACTTAAGACAGGTGATGCCCAACCACTGTTAGAAAAACGCAAAAGACATCCCCTTTCACCGCATTTGTAAGAATCACTTGTTCCTGCCTTTGGGGAGAAGGGGAAGCCCGGAGGCCTAGGGAGAGGTCTCCCAGTGCAAATGGTGCATGATGGGAAAGCCCGGCCAAGGCCCACTTTCTCTCTTGGTTATCTTGAACGTGTGTTCTTTCTCCCAAGGAGCCTCAAGCCTGTCACCCAGCTGTATGTCAGTGTGGATGCCAGCACCCAAGACAGCCTGAAGAAGATCGACCGCCCCCTCTTCAAGGATTTCTGGCAGAGATTCCTCGACAGTCTGCGAGCGCTCGCCGAGAAGGTAAGGGCAGGCCGTCGTAAAGGAGTGCTTCTGCTGGTTTGGTTTTCCTTGTTGCTTCTCCCCTCTCTCGCTTCTATTACAAGAGAAAAGGACCCCACATCTCCACCTTGTACAAATGAATGCCCTCAGCCCCCCTTCACTCTGTGGCACGAGGTCTGGTGTAGATGCCACTTGCTCTTCCTGTATTCCAGGAGAGGATGTGAGAGAGGGAGAGGGAGACAGACACGCGAGACCCTCCCTGGATAAGTGCCCCGACAGCAACCGCAGAGGAAGTCCCGCAAAGAGAAGAGGGCTGATAAATAAGGCTGTTTTGCAGTATTTCCTAAGCCGGGAGCATCTTGCATATCATGCCTGTACTGTGGACGAGTCATCGTAGTGCAGTGGTGCTCAACCTGTGGGTCACTACCCCTTTGGGGGTTGAACGACCCTTTCACAGGGGTTGCCCGATTCATCACCGTAGCAAAATGACAGTGATAAAAGTAGCAACAAAGATACTGTTATGGTTGGGGGGTCACCACCCCATGAGGAGCTGTAGGAAAGGGCCGCGGCGTGAGGAAGGTTGGGAGCCACTGCTGTCGTGGTTCTCCTTAGGGCACTGCTTTCTAAGAAACAGTAGCAATCAGACTTCATCTTCCCATTCCCGCGGGTTTCCGTTGACGTGGCAGGAGGGTCTGTGGTTGGAAGCTGCTCTGGGAATGGCAGGTTTTCTGTAGCTCACGCTGTGTGGCTTCCTTCTGCGTGTCCCGTCCAGCCGGCGTTATTAGCACAGAGGTCTGCTTGGCCCGTTTCCCACTCAGAAAGGAGACCTGTCGGCGGTGGCAGTTACCAGTCAGCTAGGGCAAAATCTGTTACGGGGGGATCTGATGGCATTGTTGGCATTTTCAACCCGGGCTTTGAACTGGCTCGTTCTGGTTCTTACCCCCTTGAGAACCTGCATGGCCACCCAGAGACACAGAGTCAGAATCTACGGTTGAACGAGACCTCCAGAGTCACGGGGGCTTGTTAGCCTGTGCGTGTGAACGCATGTACTTACGGCCACACAGGAGTCACCAGGGATGGTGGGATGGACAGCAGGAGCCCTGGGGGCAGAGTAGGTGACATGTTGGACTGCTGACCACAAGGGCAGCCGTTTGAATCGATCAGCCATTTGGGGGGAGGAAGATGGGGCCGTCTGCTCCCATAATGATTCCCCATCTCAGAGACCCCCAGGGGCAGTTCTACTCAGCCCTGTGGGGTGGCCATGAGTCAGAATGGACTCGGGGCTGTGAGCATGGCGGGGGTGGGAGAATGATCTTGTAACACAAGACCAGCAGTCAGTTGCTGTTCTTCCCGCCACCTCACGGGTTCCCTGCTCTGTCATTTCGTGCAAGTGCAGTAATGCAGGCTCTTCGTCTCAAGCCTTGCTCTATGGTCATGGAATCAGCTCCGCTGCCCCCACTTCCAAGATGAGAATCCTGCCCTTTGCTGTGAGCACCGGCACCTCTGATTTATGAAGCGGGTTTGCAGGAACGAGGAATGAGGAAGGGCGGTCGGGGGCTCATTTTTTATGGCTTGCTGAAACCGGGGTGCAGGAAGTGCTTTCTCAGATCGACACCGGAAAACCTTGATCAGCACGCTGGGGACATGCAGGTGGCGGAGGCGTGTGTGTGTGTGTGTGTGTGTGTGTGTGTGTGTGGTGTCCGGTTCCACGCCCGCAGCCCGTCGGAAGCAAGTGCACACGGCACTTCAGAGGGAGGAAAGGGGGAAATGGTGCCGTTAGTTCCCATGTCATCTGCGCAGTTGGCCTGCAATGAATGCCATTGTGTTCGGCCATTTGCACCTTACTCCACCCAGCGAGACGTCAAAGGGAGGGGGAAGGAGGAGGTGTCTTTGCCCGAGACACGGCAGAAATAGTAGGACTCTCGGAACAGGACCGGAGCCCTGTTCATCTGTGGCGTTGGAGAGGGCAGCTGCTGCTGCTGCTGCTGCGGCAGCGGCGTTAGACAAACAGCTCTGACGTTTGTCACAGCCAGAGACCACATTCCTCTGCCCGTGCTGAAAACCTGGAAGGAGACATGCCAGTCATCTCTCCCCCGACACTGACCCGAGTTGCTAGGTGCAGGGAGCCCCCAGCTCAGTCCAGGGACACGATGCCAAAACCTTCGCTTTATCCTGATTTGCCTTTCTCTGCTAACCCCGTTGACCTTCAGAGTGAATTAGGGCAAGATTAGCATTACCAGGAAGCTCCCCTGTGTGTGTGTGTGTGTGTGTGTGTGTGTGTGT